CAGTGGAGCTGCAAGGCCGGCGGCGACGGCCGGGACCGTTGGGGGCGAGGTGTGTGGCCTTATGACACACTTCCGGTGATGTCAGGGGGTGTGGCATATGCAAATGAGTTATGCTAATGAGTTCCCCTAGCTCTTTTTCTACGAAACGACCCCTGAGAAGCAGTATCTAGAAGACTTATGGAGCAATCATTTCTGGGGTCATTTTTGTACCCCTTTTAAAAGCTGGGTCTAATATTAATCTCTTGGGGATGTTACTAAAAGTATTTATATGTTTATTTATTTACATATTTATTTACCACATTTATACCCTGCCATTCTCCCCAAAGGGGACCCAAAGTGGCTTCCTTAGTTTTTTCTCTCCCCATTTTTTCATCCTCACAACAACCCTGTGAGGTAGGTTAGGCTGAGAGTATGTGCATTGCTCTCAAGGTCACCAAGCAAGCTTCCATGGCAGAGTGGGGATTCAAACCCACATTTTCCAGTTCCTAATCCAACACTTTCACCACTATATTACAGTGATTTTTCCAACAGGGAAGCCTATCTCAAATGAAATCTGGAAATAATCAAAAGGGCATAATGTTCTGTTTTTTTAAAAGAAATAAACAATAGATAAACTGAATTAAGCATTTAGCTTTCAAGTAGAACAGTGTTGGTGATCAGCAGCTAGGGCTGCCAACCTCCAGGTGGTAGCTGGAGATCTCCCAACACTACCATTGATCTCCCGATGACAGAGATCAGCTCACCTGGAGCAAATAGCCGCTTTGGAAGGTGGATTCTATGGCATCACACGCCACTGAAGTCTCTCTCCTCCCCAAACCCTGTCCTCTGCAGGCTCCACCCCTCAAAGCTGACAACTCTATCAGTGTCCCATAAACCTAGGAACTTATATCTTGGAACATGCTCTATAAGCTGATTAGCACTAGAATTAAACACCACCCCAAAATGTTTTACCACTTGGTATTAACTGGGTCTCTACATCAACCAGTGGCAACATTTACTACCATCTTTCCTCACTAAAGTTAACTTAAGGATATGAACAGAGAGGTTTAAAAATTCTCTATTTTGCTCCAAGAATTTCTTGATTATAGACTCTCAACATTCCCTTTTTGGGCTATAATCCACCTGGCTGTTTTGCACAACTCTCTTTGCATTCATCATCAAATGACTCCAATTTATTCTTTCCCCCCCTTAGATACTAAGCAAGCTTTGGGAGCCTATATGAGGGAGAACAGTCGGAGAACTAACATACTGGCATAGTTACTGTTAGGGCTAATTTCCAGAAACAGTAAAAACTAGGGCATATTGTATAGAGGGAAGAAGACTGAAAGAGACGGAAACAAGCCTAACACTAATCAGAGAGCCCTTCCGAAAATCCAATGCTTTTATGTTTCTTGATCTGCATCACAGACCTCCAGAGAGTTGCACTGTGTAGGTTGCACAGGCTGGGTAAGTTATTTAATGAGGCATTCTGTTTTATTCACAGTTAAAATGGAAGAGAAAATCCTATCTGCATAATTTCTCATGTGTAATATGCAAATCTGGACTCCATAACCTAAGCAAATCTTGGTACATTTATAGTGCAATCCTAAGAAGGTCTGCTCAAAACTCAGTAGGAGTTGCTTCTAGGTATGTGTAGCTGGGATTGCGGCAGTCTAGAAAAGTATCTACTTAGAACATTAACACAACTTAGTTTGGAGTATGCAAAAAAATCAGCATTTTCCCGTTCGGGTCTACTGGACCTTAAATTTTTTTGGTATTTCCAAAAAAATCCCAGATTTCAATACCAGTATGCTATTTGGATCTGGGATTTTTGGGAAATACTGAATTTTTTTGGGTCCAATAGACTGAAGAAGAAAAATGCAGATTTTTAAAAAGAAGCCTGCATGCCCTGAAGCGAGTAGCCTAGGCAAGCCTTATCTCATCAGATCTTGGAAGCTAAGCAGGGCCGACCCTGGCAAGCAATTGGAGGGAGACCTCCAAGGAATACCAAGGCTTGGGACACAGAGGCAGGCAGTCAAGCCACCTCTCTGAAATGTCCAAGCCCCACTAGGGGTTGCCAAAAGTCACCATGATTTCCAGGCATGCAAGCACGCACGCACACATACGCACACAGAAAAGCCTGCACAACCCTGGGGTTGGCTTGGCTACAGTGGGGAGGTGTCTCCCTGCCGCACGTGGACCCGGCTGAGAATGCTTCTCCTGTGGTATGGTTTAAATTGTGCCGCAGGAGAAGCTGGCCCTAGGATTTGCATGCAGCGGGGAGCTTTCAGTTCTTGCTGCCCTGGCTGATCTTGGGCTGGCTCCTCTTGCAGCCTGGTTTCTGAAAGAGAGGATCAGCTGGGGTGGCGGGAGCTGAAAGCTCCATACCACCTTGGCTGGGGCTGGCTCCTCTTGCAGCAAAGTTTAAGCCAAGCTGCTAGAGGAGCCAGCCCCAGCCAAGGTAGCGCAAAGCTCTTAGCTCCTGCCGCCCCAGCAGATCTTCTGTATAGCTGAATATCCCCGAATAAAAGCTGAAAAAATTCAGCTTTTATTTGGGCTCAACTATACTGGTAGCCAATCAGATTCTCTGAATCTGTCTTCAGCTTAAATAATACCCCCAAAATACTGGTAAGGTATTTTCTGGGCATTTTGGGGGGCTTGGTTTATGTCGAATGCACACCCCTACTTAGAATAAAACAGATTTATCTTCTCTTACAATGCAGTTTTAAAAATACATAATCATGTAGAAAACTTACTGCCTCTTGAAGAATTACTCTGACATGTCAACAGGGAAAAAATGAAACTCCACATGTTTTTTTTTTAATGTAGAAGGTCCCACTTCAGCACCCAGAATCTCAGGCTAACAGATATTAAGTAGCAGGGCTGGGAAAACCTCTGCTTGAGACTTTGCGAAGCTGCTTCCAGACAATAATGGGGTCAGCAGTCATTGGTCTGCCACTGTACAAGTCGCCAATCTTATTCTACTAATATTTAACTACTGATTTCTTTGATTTCGGTTGTTTTATCCACATAATTAGAAAAACAAACAGCTGAACACAGACAAAAATTTTTATCGTTGGGGATGAGAAGTGTAGTTTAAGTACACTTATATGTCTATAGCTTTTACCAATGTAAACATGGATCATAACTATTAATCAGATATCTATTTTTAAAAATTAATATAAAATAGTTGTTAAAAGATACCTGTTGAAGGGGAGAGAGAGGTTACCTTATTTATCTGTTTAACTCAGCACTTATTGCATACTATTGAAAAGTAATTTCTGTCCATCTCAGAAAATATGTACCAAAACAAAATTGTGCTTTCCTTTATTAGTCAAAAGAATACTGCACAAGTTGATGAAAACATACCGCCACACTTTCTATATAAAAAAGTAGGCAGTACAAAATAGCCCTTCGAAGTCTTGGGGTATATCTATTAAACATTACTTGGTTGTATAAAGACTATGCAGCTGCTATATAAATGCAGGTGTATAATTTTAAACATTTATTATCAACTGGTAGATTAAGCAAGACAACAACATTAATAAGGACAATATTCATGATACTGATAGTGCTTTAAAACTGACTTTACGTCTGTCATATTTTTATCTTCATTCTAAAAGGTTCCTATTACTTTCCACTCTGCCATTGACTACACTGCGTGCTACTTTTATTTCTATCTACTGTTACTATTTAAAGTAAAAATAATGACCACTCTGCCATTGACTACACTGCGTGCTATTTTTATTTCTATCTACTGTTAATATTTAAAGTAAAAATAATGACCACCGAAAGACTAAATGAATGCATTTTTCTTTGAGCTACAAACCTTTTCAGCTTATTTCCTTTAAACCATATGTATAAATCCTGTTCTTTTTGAATTTCTAGATTTCCATCTATTGTTTTCAGAAGAAAATTGCTCTGTGACTTTTCTTTACTGCAAGTAGGTGAGTAGCATCAGCAGTAGTACTTTAGTTTACTTTATTTCAAGACAGTATAAAAGTTTATCAACAACATATAAATTATATTTCCCTTCCCTTCTCTCTCATATTGAATTTATAAAGTATCTGCTGACATCAAAGAAAGACAGTACAGGGTACAAAGCACACCACTGCCATCCAGTACTACTTGTTCATGCTGAGAAACAAAAGGTCAAACACAATCAAGTCTTACTAGCTCAACAGATGTCTCTCCCATTAGTTACCTTAATCCCAGAACCACAGTGTTAGTGTTTCATGCAGACCTGGGGTTAGTAAAGACTAAAACTTGAAAATGGAGTGGTAATTTCTCAGTAGTGTGAATTCCCCTCTCTCTCTTTTAGTATAAACAAGAGCAATCAGGAAAGTTTGCATACAACATGGTTACAAGCTTAGTGCTCTAGTAATAGATTAATAAGAACAGAAGGGTTTTTTTGGACACTTTGTCTTACCTTCTGATAAACAGAACTGATATTTAATGATCTAAAGAGGGGAAATAAAATAAATGAAATAATCGTCAGGAGTTCAAGAAGTTACTTGTACAGGTAGGCCTTGAGTTACTTGTATTCTTAGTGACTGTTTTATTAGTTAACTGAAAATGCAGTATCTTATGCAACGGATTTTGAAAATTTGGTTTTCATGGTGAAGCGACTATGCATCTGTGCATATTTTTACACTATAAATACAGTGATAATAGAAAAGCTTACATATCTCCCAGAGCAAGAATAAATGTAAGCTTTCCTTAAAGATAAAATACATGAACTAGGCTGTAAGATGATGCTTAAGGATCTTATGCATTGATGGCTCTCACATATAATGTGATGGTGTATTGCAGAAAAACAGCTGATTAGCTAGCTGTATTGAATGATTTTGATTTAGTTAACACAGAATCAAATTATATTTCATGGAATGCAGATTCTTCAATATGAAAGTTTCAATCATATCATAGAACAGTTTGGTAGAACTTAGGTTCTGACTACCTAGAAATACTGCATTTTAAGTATCAATAAACAGAAAGGTAATTTTTTATTATTATATTCTTACCAGTTTCAGAGGGCACATGATGGCAAGGTGCTGGACAGAAAACCTGAGCTGCAAAGTCTTCAAAAGTTGAAGGATCTAGATGGTGCTGAACAATTGTTTGCAGATACCGAGCTCTTTCTTCATAGCTAGTTTTACTCAAAAGTTAAGGATCAACTTTAAAATCTCAGAAGAAAACAAACAGATGAGGTCCTGATCAATGCTATAACACCCTCCTAAGGCTGCCAACTTTGGATAGCTTCTAGGAGGACTAAGTGACATCCATTGCTCAGTGAGGATCATAACCATAGCAGGAATCATAACAATGGAAGTAGGTGATGATCAGGATGGCCTCGTAAAGCTTTTCTTCCATTCAAACTCACCAAACATATTTCCCAGTGGACAGGAAGGAATGTGGGAATACCACATTCAGTTTTAAATTATTCTGTTAATTTTCAAGCAATATTATGACAGTCATCTGACAGTCATACCATGGAAATGAAGCACATCATACCAGCCTGAGATAGACTGAACTGAAACTTGTGGATTAAATCTCCGAACACAGTAAAGTGTTTAGATTTTGACCAGAATAATGGCAAACTTTTATATGGGCTGTATCCTATTGTTCTGATCAGCTAAGTGCAATAAATTTTGTTGGCATAGAGCACATTCTATTGGCAGAGGAGTCTCTTGGTCAGCCAGATGTGTTTTGTACTGGAGGAACATATACCCTCATTTATGTGACATGACGGGATACAAGTCGCTGTATTATTGTAAGCCACCTTGAAGTGAGAGGAAAGGTGGGATATAAATGTTGTAATAAATAAATGTCTATAACCCATACTCTCAATTATTTATGGCTCTGAAAGCAGCTCAAGAGAAATATGTATTTCTGTGTGATTATAATAAGGAAAACAGTTTTAATAACATCAGTTCAGATTGACTAATGTACTATTCCAAATGATTCCATGTTATTCTGGAAACCAAGTGTTAACTTTAAAAGGCTGCATACTCACAAAAATGGGTTATAATCTCTATAAGGTAAAGGACCAGTTCCAAATGAAAACCCCAGACTGGCTTTGACTTTAAAAATGAACTCCCTTTAAAGCAGTTAAGATAAATGTATAACTAAAAACAGCCAGTCAATTAGGTCATAGGGACAATTAGATATATTTGCAAAAAGGCCATAGGATCCATAAGCAAAAAAAAGTGTTTGCAGGACACCACGAGCAAAACATTGTACTTCTTCCCCTTTCCCCTGCATCCTCTCTTGCTGATATTATTGACAAGAGACTGGTATCTTGAAGTGCTGTTGCTTTTGAAGAACCCTCTCCAGGCTTCTTGTTCCAGCAGCCCTGATTGTGCTGTTAGCACAGGGAGTGAGAAAAGAGAGAGAATATTTCTGCTGTTCATAAAAGCATCTATGGAAATGGCTGTCAAAATGTAGAGCAGCAGGCAGCAACATACAATTATCAAGAAAAAAATACCCTGCTGACTTAGTGTCATAGGCTGATTGTGGGCTGGGAAATCAGTTACCTTTCTTGCAGAACTTATAAAACTTGCCCTTCTGAACTCATTGGGTTATTCATGTATTACTTTATATCAGTCCATAGTCTGTACACAAATGTATGCATTCACGTGTATGTTCAATTTGTGGTCTTTCTTTAAAGAAAGAGAAGAATTACTTTGCAGATTAGATTTATAATCAGGAACCTGTGAAAATGCACAGGCAACTCCCATTGTAATCCTCGCTTGATCAAAAGGAGTAGGACTAAACCGTCCTACTCAGCTTCAACTACTCAGCTTCAACTATTGTTAGGAGAGAACTGGGCCCCCTGAATCTTACAACACAATTTTACTTCCCTTTGCGATCTTTATGGCAAGATGAGGTAGTATCTTGTTTGTGATGTCATGTGCGGTGATAGTGGGCTTGGAGAATGTTTGTCTCAATCTTTCAGCAGCAAATGGACATAATTCTTTCAGTGATGAAGGGGTAGTAACTTTTCAGCAATGAAGGAGAAGCTGCCAATTGGTCTGTAAGAATGTCCACCATTTCCTCCCTTCCCTCTTGATGCTTCAATGCTTCAGCAGGTGGTGAGGGCTAGCATCTACATATGATCTTCCACCGCTACTTCCTGCTGCCATGAGAGAACTGTGCATGTACAATCCTCAACTGTGCTTGTTTTTTGGGAGTGTGTGTAGTTTTTTGGAGCCGAGGGTTTTTAACATGGGTAAACACTCTCCTGTAATGCTGTCCCCTTAGTTCTTACTGACAGTATCTGCAAATGGAATCTGATTTTGAAAGTAAGATATATACACCAGCTTATCCTCCAAGCTCAGGGCTGCGTGCACTGGCTTCTGCCTTCCAATCTCCATTACTTAAAGGCAACCATTACCTATATCCCAACCCTTTCTAAGTCCCCTTCCATACATAATCAACAAAACTGGATGTCTTGCATCCAGATGAACAATCCCCCCCCCCCCAATCCTTCCCCTTTGCTAGCCTTTCTCCTTCCAAATTAGAAAAGTGCATACCTCCTGGTGATTTATAACTAGAGGGAGGGAAGTAGCAATTCATTCAGTCCTCTAATGTGCGGTACACCTATGTGATAAATAGTATACACATTTTAAATGCTAACAAAAGAGCCAAGTTTTAGGATTAACTAAGACATGTGTAAATAATAGAAGAGATAACACAGATCAGTCTTTCACTCTTCACTATATTTCAGTGATTGTGGAATGTACAGCAATAATTATACCACATAGAAAACAAAAGTATGCAGAAAAGTGCTTTGAATTAGAGTTATCGCTGATATTATATCTGTCCCTTTAAATTAAAACAGGGATGCAGTCTACAAATTGCTTCTGAAACATAAATTGCAACATTAGGTTTGGGAAGAATATAAAACCTCTTTGTTGTGAAGGTTCTTAGGTTGTGGGACATACACAAGATTGAGCCTTAACACAGGAGAGTAATATAGCACAGTTTTTAAGAGGCTGTATATAAGTGGTGGAGGATGAAACTGATGGTTGAAGTCTAAATAATACTACATATCTCACAACTTGTTGAAAAGCACTTTTTTCCATTGGGGGAGATTCACAGCTGCTGAATTTTCTGCAGTTAATAGAGTCCTTTGATTCACAGCAGTGCCCCTTGCACAAAAAATACTGGCCTTTGTGTATTACCAGAAACTAATTTTCTATTTGGCTGAAAAGGGAAAAATTGGGTTATTGCTTTTCCCTCCTACAGAGCTTTTCATTATGCCTGATGCACTCAACTTCTAAGCTCTTCTGAGAAAAAAAAATAACTGAAGAGGCAAGAGGTAGAAAAATGAGCTTGTTAGCACATTAGAAGTGAAGTATCTTGGTGGGCCCCAGAAATTCCCAGTGGTGTGTTAACTTATCACTCTATGCATGCTGGCACTGATAGTCTCCCAATTGAGCACTCTCTTTTCGCACCAAAGGTGCTGCCAGGAAGCAAAGGCTGAAGGCCCACAGGAGAACAGCCTGCTATCAAAACAAGCTGTTTTAAAAAGTCTGTTTGAATGGGTAAAATGCTTTATGAAAAGCAGGGTGGAGACACCTACCTGCTTTTAAAATACTCCTGTTTCAGAGGTCTCTAAATGAAACCTTGTATGTTTATTTTATTATATATAATGCTTATACACAAATAGGACAGAAGTGTGGGAAAGTTAATGCTTTTGATGTGACTACATTTGAGGTTATGGAGGATAACTTTCAAAGACAGAAAGTATTGTTGATTCTGAAGGGTAGCACTACCTAGGTTTCATTACACAAAGAGAATGCAGAGTTAGCCTTATCTAAAACATGACTGAAAACAAATCTTCATTGCATGTGTTCTCTGTGTTGGACCCTGATGTCAACAAGGTCCTCTGCACTGATCCAACAAAATCCTGCTACCCATGCTGAAAAAGCTCTATTTTAGCATCATAAAAGCTTTGTACTTTATTACACATTATAGTAGCCAGAGCCAATGTTATCCTCACTCCATGTTCTTCATAGACTTAAATATGAATACTGGAAGGTAGAGCAACACTGATTTCTAGAAACCATCTGTCATGTCACCTTAAGTTCAGTGCACTGCCCTACTTTGGAATGCCCTTATTTCAAGATGAAGTTGTCAACTGGGCTCATAGAACGGTGTCTGCTTGCTTTTGAGGCTCTCTCTTTTCTTCTCTACCACATGCTTCTAAATTGGTAGAGATACTCTCTCAGCAATGCCATACATTGTTAAAATATTCAAAAGCACTGAAATATAGGGATTCTCAAGGGGGGGGGGAATCACAGAGGACTTCCCAATGACTATTTCCAGTTTATGGAATTATCTCCTGAGAGATCTGTCAATGCTTGCCATGCAAGACTTCTTTGGGTGCTGTTTTTAATACTTATTTTCCAAAAAAACATCATCAGCATTCAATACCATTTTCTATACCAGAGGTCTACTCCTTATATAACCCATATGTCAATTACCAGCATTGTCTCCCTTTGCACCAAATAAATTTGAGCAAAATCTTTGCTTGTTGGATAAGGAAAGATAAAACCATTTTGGCATTGTTTTCCTTTTTAAAAAAATTATGTATACTTAAACTAGGAAGTATGCTAGTTATTTCTGTTCCTTGTTTAGTGTTCCCTTCTTTCTCAGCTTCAGATTCTTACAGACCATGGATGCTGTAATGTCAGAGACCAAATTTAGAAAATCAAAACAATTTTATCACTGGTTTTACCACATATTAAATATTATATGATTATTTTAATTGATCTATTCAGGCTGTAATCCTATGCATCCTTACTTGAGAGCAAGTCCATTGAACTTAGCAGGGCTTCCTTTTGAGTGTACAAGCATAGGATTGGTGTGCATGTATGTTAGAGACATTGCTCCGTAGTTCATTTTAAACTCTTTTCAGTAACATTATCAAAAAATGGCCGAACATAGCAGTGTGCTGAATTTTCATGATGAATTCTGCTATGGTCACTCTGACATTATATGGCAACAACAGCAGAGTTATTTTCATTGTTCCATCAGGCTACATTACAGCTAAATTCTTCAGTACAGTTTATATTCTCACCTGTGAAAGAAAGCAGTGATTTTCAGAGGAGACAATGCTGGGCTTTAATCCATTCCTACAAC